AGTCGGCGCGGAACAGCCCGCTCTTACGTGCACCCCAGGCTCTGAAGGGCAGGGTGCTCCGTAAACGCTTCCAGAAACGACAGGACTCGGCAGCCCCCAAGGCCCCAGAGGCTCCCGCAGGCCTCACGGTCTGGCGGCGGCTCTCACCTGCTCGTCCACGTAGGCGTCGATCCTCTTCTGGCACTCCAGCCACTCCCCGGCCACCCTGCGCAGCTCCTCCTCCGAGCGCTGGAAGCGCTGCAGCAAGGCGCCGTACGTGTCCTCGCCACAGCTGTCGTGCGTCGTGGTCCCCAGCCTACGGAGAGAGGCCCTTCAGCCCAGGAAGCGGTCCGGGGGCTCGGGGCCAGCCACCGGAGGTTGCTGCTGTTCATCGCCTCCCCTCCCCACAGGGCAAATGGCACGCTACTGGACACTAAGTTCGTTTGCAAGCCACCCAGAACAGAATCTGGCATAGAGAAGCTCAAAGAAGTAACAGCTCCTAAGAAAAGAATCAGTGGTGACTGTCGCCGCTCCCAAAAGACGCAGCCCTGGGACCGGCTCACGCAGTGAGGGTGGCCAGCTATGCCCCGATGACACGCGCCGACCCAGAGAGAGAGAGAGGCGTCTGACGGCCAACGCCGCCTGGACCTGCTCTTCCAGTCAAGTCAACCAGAGAATCCGATTCAAACGAAGAAACATAATTATACTGTCATCCATCCCACGTTACATCTCGTTAAGAAAGATAGTAAGATGGCAAATGAGAATATAAACAGAAAAGACATACACATGGCTAAACAATGAGACGCCTACGCTTCCGAGAACGGAGACGTGGAGCCGGGGGCCGGCCTGGGAGAGGGAGGCGCCTGGGTCGACGTGCAGGCTCTCGTCAGACACCATCTGCTTTCTTAATATCTAAACGTACCCACGTTTAAAGCAACCAAAGTGACTGCGATGCAGACCTGCCGACAGAATTCCAGAGTCAGAGCCGGCTCGAAGGCTGTCTCCACCACGAGAAACCAAAGTCCTCAAGACACAGAGGCCAGACTCTCGGAGGCTCCTGTGGGCACCACACACCACCTGGGGACAGTCTTCTGTCCCCCTGCAGAGCACTCCTGCTCCTGCGACCGTCCTCATCAGGACTGACGTCCGCTCTTCACGCAAACCGCCTCCTCCTCCGTGCAGCCACCTGCCCCACTGACCGCCTCAGAAACTGGGAGGCTAGAGGCCCAGGTCGCGTGCGCTCCTCACCCCGCTCCTACTGGACCGTGATGCAGATCCTACTGTGTGCCGACGGACGGCAAAGCCTGCAGGGGTCCCGGGCCACTCTGGTGAGGCCAGAGGAACCCAGTCGGTAGGCACAGTAGCGGAGCTGGCCTGGAGTCCCAAAGAAACAGGACGCAGCCAGCATCCTCAGGGTCAAACAACAATGGCTCGGAAAACAGCTCTCTCTCTAAAGGTTAACTCTGCAAAAGCACGAAAGCGTCATGGAAAGCTACTCAAACTAATCCCTGTTACAAATCAGATGTGTGAGACAAGTGATCAGGAGAATGAAAATCAGTTTAAGTTTATTTAACGAGCCTAATTAAAATTTTCCCTAACAGTTGATATTATACGTTTAAATAAAAACTAACTTAAGTCATAGTGCCTAATGTCCACCGCGGCAAACAGGCAGACACTGAGGCTCCCAGTCTCGCCGCGGGGACGGACGCGGAGTGTGACGGAGCCTGTGGGGCTGCCGCCAGTTTGCAGGTGGCAGAGGTGGAGGCGGATGCTCCGTGAGTGGGGGCTGCAGGACCAAGACTTGGACATCGCTACGTGACAAACGGCTCCGGGTCTTCAACAGGTAAGTTGTAAGGGAAAAGGGGCTGGGGTGTGGGGTCTGCAGATCAAGGAATCTCAAAAGACCTCAGCGAAAAGGAGGGGTGGAGGTCACTGGTTAACGTTGACAGTCTCTGTTTGCAGTGACGAAAGGTTCTGGAAATAGACACCGGTGATGGTGGCCACACTGTGAACACAGTAATGCTACTGAATTATACACTTAAAAGTGGCTAAAACTGCAAGTTGTAGAATATATTTTTTACTATAATTTTAGAAAATTAATCGTGTAACATACCAACAGCCTTTGAATTGTATACTCTAAATGAATGAGCTGTACGGTAGTGAATTACATCTCAATAAAGCTGTTAAAAAGAGAGAAATAGCTTTCAAAAACTAAAAGCCAGGCAAGACTGTAGCCGCGCACCCGAGCGGCAGGACAGTCAGTAGAGGGCAGGCACGCAGCGGCCGTGCGCGCGGGCTTGGCTGGTGCCTACTGCTAACAGTGCATCAAGCCATACGTCTGCTTACTGCACTTTTCTTTATCTGGATTTACTTTACAATAAAGTTAAACAAACACGGAACAGAGACAAAGCATCCATACTAACTCCGGCTATGGATTTTATGTGCTACAGAGGCAGCCACTGCCCCAGGAGGCGGTGTTTGCGTATAACTCGCTGCAGAACTTTTCTAAGTTGTTACGTGAACATTTACACCAGAAGCTCAAATATGGCTGATTCTCGGTCCGACTGGAATCTGCAGGGACGGTGACAGCACCGCCTCTCCTGGGGAATGTGCCGTGTCCCTCTTTCCCCTGCCATCTGCAGCGGGACCGCAGCGCTGGCACTGCAGACGGAAACGCTGTGACCAGGAGTCTGACCATCCGAAACGAGCGCGTCAGAAATCCGAAACGGGCACAGAGGAACAAGGAGCTTTATGACACGTTTAAGGTTTCTGTCGCCCACCCACAGTTTGATAGGCTCGTCAAACTCACTGATGCACCAGAAAAGGAAAAAACCACACTGAATACCCTGGATTCTTGCTGTAAGAACCCCTTCCCACCAAGACGCACGTTTCTTTAAAAAACAGTGGTCGTGCTGGATGTGAACGTAGCAACTAGAGACAAAACCAGGTTATGCGTCTCGAACTCATGGCTTCCAGCACTGTCCTGACCCCTCCCTCCGTGAGGGGCGCAGCTGGGACGCCCGGTCTCCTTGCACCCAGCACGACACCTAACGGACACTTTCGAGTGGACACAGCAGGGAAAGGGTGCGGGTCAGGAACGACCAGAGCACAGGCCACACTTGAGTGACACTGCTCTGACCTCCTCATCTCCACCGTGCTTCATGAATGGCTTGTAAGGCTATTCTTTCCCCGGATGTGAGGGTGTGAAGCGGGAACAGTCAAGAACCCTCAGACAGGATTTAGGAAGACAGAAAACAAGGACTGGGTTAACACATGGGTTTCGAGAAGGAAAAAGGTGACTGGTGTGTATGTAAGTCAGCTCTGACGATAATTTATTTATTTAAAAATCATTTCCCGTCTACAGCCGTGCCTCCCTGAACGTGCCCGAGCCCATGGGATCTCGGAAGCTAAGCAGGGTCGGGCCCAGTTAGTACTTGGATGGGAGACCACCTAGGAAGACCAGGTGCTGCAGGCATAAGTAATAACAATAATAATAAGGGATTGTACGCTGACAAGGTCCTTGTGATCTGTGAGGTCAACCAAGGGATGCCTCGCCTAAAAAATAATAAATAAACAAAATGCCGAACGCACGCTTGGTACGCGTCTCAGCACACAGAGCACAGACGCTCCACACCAGTAAGCATAAGCCAGGCCATGAACCAAGGTGTCCAGGAACATTCAAGAGACACCCTGCCCCAGTGCCGGGAGCCCCTTGGCACCTCACACCCGTGCTGGAGCCTGCCACTCGCCCTCTCCCATTCCCGCAGTGAGTGCCACAGCATGGCCACGTGGTCAAGCGTGAGACTCGTCAAGGTCAAATTCTATGTTTATCACAGCCTTTCCTATCACAGCCTTGAGTAATTTCTGGTGTTAAATCTTAGGAGCATTAATACTGGGTTTGCTATTTTAAAGTTTAGTCGTGTTACTGTTTGGGTTTTGAGTTTTATGCTCAAACCATATTCTCCTCCAAGCCCGGCGATCTTTCCAGCAAGAACCCCCAGGGTGCAGTGGTGCTAAGGTGCTCATGTGCTGCAGCACAGGGGGAAGACCACGCCGTCACAGCTTGGGACACGCAGACGACCACATACCTGATCTGCGACACCAGGGCTGGCAAGTTGCTCTGGAGGAGGGGCTCCGAGAAGACCAGATTTTCAAACAGGTGCTTATTGTGTAGCTCCCAAGTCACCTGGAACTTCTTTAAGTGCTCGTTTTCCTAGTCAAAAAAGATAAACACAAGACGTACTGAGCTGATGACTAAAAAGACTAAAGAACTCCCATGACCCTTCTCCCTCCCCCTTCCTTCCCCCCCTCCACACAGACCCAAAAACTCTGTGTAAGAGGAGCGATGGTCCCTGTACGTCCCCAAGTAGACCCTGATGAAGACACAGCTCGCCAGGGCTCCCTTCTAAGTGACCCACACAGAGGAAGAAGGGAGAGAGAGAAGAGAAACGTCGGCACGTGTTTGATGTCATTCCTTATTATTCTTTTTTTTTTTTAAATAACTTTTTTATGCCCACAGCACCCAGTCTTCCTAGGTGGTCTCCCATCCAAGTACTATCCAGGCCTGACCCTGCTTAGCTTCCGAGATCAGACGGGATCGGGCTTGTTCAGGGTGGTATGGACGTAGACCATGAACTGTGGCTCCACTGGGGCGTGAACTTTCCGCGCCTTCTGCGTGGAAAGCAGACTTGCTAATAAATAATTTTTTTATGCCCACAGCAGCCAGTCTTCCTAGGTGGTCTCCCATCCAAGTACTATCCAGGCCTGACCCTGCTTAGCTTCCGAGATCAGACGGGATCGGGCTTGTTCAGGGTGGCATGGCTGTAGACCATGAACTGTGGCTCCACTGGGGCGTGAACTTTCCGCGCCTTCTGCGTGGAAAGCAGACTTGCTAATCGCTACACTACGGAACCACGTCCTTAGTAGGCTTTCGAATGTACTGAAAGGCCTACTTTTCCGACAATCTAAACGCATACAAATCCTTCGATGCCAAAGGACAACCGCCTTCTTGCCCACCCTGAGAAATCCCCCATGCTGACAGACGCAAGTCACTTCTCCAGTGGTGACACTTGGGTCTTCTGTCTCTCTAATAAATGCAGGCAAACTCATCCATTACTCAGATAGCATTTAGACATTCGGGAGCACGCCGGCCGTCACAGGGAGTGGCATCAGGAGTGATGTCCCCTTACCCTCAACACAAGGTGAGCAGGACAGACGGCCTTGCGCCCGCAACGCGGCGTCTGCTTTCAGCTCACCTCACTTGCTACAACTGTGGGCCCTGGGCTCCCAGCATGAGCCCCGCGCACCCTTCCCCGTGCTGCAGTGGCCCTCCGTCTGGGGCCCCTCCCCTAACGGAAGCGGGATCTGCAGTCACCGCATCGGCGGTCTCCCCCACGTGTGACTCGGCCGCGCTGACACGCTCACAGCTGGAGACATCACTGAACGACCCACACGAGACGATTCTGTCGTTTCGTCCTGACAACTGGCTGGCCCGGGGCTGAGAACACGTCGGGTGGCCAGCCCTTGCCCCCGACACGTGTGCGCGATGCCGCCGAGAGCACACAGGGGCACTGCCCGGCACATGCAGACGCCAGTCCGCTAGTCGGTCCTCTGTGTGCCCTGGGAACACGGAGCCGG